AGCCTCTGGCGGTGACCGCTACCTGTTCCAGCTCGGCCTGGAGGCACAGAAAGCTCGGCTCTTAGAGTCCTGCACACATATACACACAGAGCATCCACGTGCCTCCAAATCGCCTCGCCGTCTCGTTTCTGGGAGGTCACAGCGCTGCTGGCGTCCCCTCTCGAATGCCCAAGGATGGTTGACAGGATCATGGTGATGTCTGGGGAGGAAGGCGTTGGGACAGGCCCCAAACGGAGACCCCCTTTCGCGCATTTCTCTCCGGAGGAATCACGGGCCTAAACGATGCTACCGCCGCATGCGTATCTACACAGTTCCTATGTACACGATTCCTTTCTCATAGAAATTTAAAGTGCTTGGGTTCAACGCGCCCTCTCCTCTCCCACACCATGGCCTACAGATTCCTCTTGCTGCTTCCAAAGAGAAGGTCTGTCCTTATGGAGGATGCCCTTGGAAAGAGGAACGAGCGTTTCACAGTTGCCTTAGCTGGGATCCAGCATTGGGACCAAGCCTTCTTCATAAACACGAAGAATGGCTTCACACACAAACTTGTACTGGCTCTGGAAAAGAGAAGACAGCCGTCAAGCCTGCCAGCAGCCCCACAAACAGTCCCTCACACCCACACAGAGCAATGTGATAAATACCCTCTGAGCTCCAGCGCTGGCCAGGCCTGCCCTGTGCCACACGCCAGAGGAAGGGTGGAGAAGACACACGTGTGACCCCATTACTGCTGCAAGATGAAGGGCGGGGACTATTCCCAGAGCGAAACGGGCAGTGTCAGGGAACCACGGCAGAGGCAGAGGGAGGAACTGGCCGTCTGGAGGAGTCAGGGAGGAGTGATGGTTGTTGCGGGGTGGCCACTCCAGTGCAGGCACCAGTGTGGGGGTTCTGAGGGGAACGGCCCATTCTGAGAACGGCAGTCAGAGCTCGGGGTCCCGGCCAGGACGCTGGGCAGGGAAGGAGGGAGCACACAGTGGGCCAGGGCCGGGTCATGGCAGAGGGAGGGTCTGGATTTTGTTTAAAAGAAGAGCCACTGAAAGCTGCTCTGGAGATGGTTCTATTAGCAAACACCTAAGCAACGTGCATGTGAGTGATGTACAGGCTGAAAGGAAGCCTGAGACTGAGCTGCCCTAGTTGGGAAAAGCTGCCCAGATGATGCACTTTAACGATTTTCAGCCAGCCATGAGGTCTCCACACCACAGAAAGGGTCCCAAACAGCCTTAATAACCTGATTTTCCTCTCCCGCTTAACCAGACTGTGGGTACAAACGAATATGAAACTAGGAGCGCTCACAATGATTAGAGCAACCTTGTAAACGTTGCCCAGGAGACTGAGGGAGGATACAGAGTGGTACAACATGGCGTTCCCCTCCTTCCTTTGTTAGCTCTCCCGGGGGGTTTGCCTCAGAGGCCTCTCCGCCAGAAAGCCTTCCCGGACTTTCTAAAGTGTTGGCTTTTGTTCCTCTTCCACCGAGTTCTTAGATTTCCCGTGGCCTCCCCCACTGCTGCTGAGACCTATAATTGACCAGTCCAGTTCTCCTACCATACACGTGAGCTCGGGTCTCTCCTTCTGCGCAATGATCCGATGAATGAATGACTATGGAATGGCCCCCCTTTTGCAGATAGCGAAACTGAGTCTGGGAGTGAGGTTAAGGGATTACTCAGAGGTTGCCTAGTAGGTGGAGGGCCTGAATCGTGGTCTTTCCACCCCACCGCCTTTCTTATAGCTCTGGGAAAACCCCAGGATTTCCTCTCTTAGGAGATGTGCAGTGCCAAGTACCCAGGCGTGACAGACATGGGAGAGAGCACACAGGAGGAGGGAGGAGGACCATGTGGAAGGTTCCCTGAGCCCAAAGGCTCATCTTGGAACAGGTGGGAGGGGGGAAACCCTCAGGTGACCTTGGTTACTTCTCATGGACCAGTGATGGGCCAGTGGGTCACCACGCAGAATGCAACCAGGGCTGCTCCCTGGCTGAGTGGTTGGCAGGAAACAAACCATGGAGGCAGCAGAAGTGGAGGCAGCGAAAGGCAGGGGCCAGATGCGGTGGGGCGTGGAGGAGCTCAGCCCGACAAGCTGTGACCATGGGCGAGTGACTCAGTCCCCTCAAGCCTCGGTCACCTGACCTACCATGCCCTTTGCACAGGCCTGGCCCGGGGCAAGTGCTCAGGGAGCATCGGCCACTGTTACTCTATTTATTATTGGATTTCTACTCACTGATGTCTGCACCATCATGGCGCGCTGGTCTCGCATTTTCCGGACAACATCCAGAGGGTAAACAGGCAGGTTTCTCTCGATGAGGCACATGGCTGTTTCCATGGTGACCAAGACACCAGTTCGACCTATTCCAGCACTGGGGGGGTAGGGGTGGAGGTGCGGGGAGAGGAGCAGAGACTTGAATTTGCTCAGCCAGCATTTCTGCATAGCCCAGCTCGGCTCCTCCCCAGGTGCCACCTTTACTCAGACGGAGCTTTCCTCAACCCCGACCTTCAAGGGTACGGAACACACACTCAGGGTGCTCTCACACTGGCTGACAAAGCCTCTCCTCAGGGAGTCTGAGGCCTGGTGCTTCAACCAAAGGAAAGACGCCCCCCCCCCCCCCCCCCACATCTATCCTGCAGGTCAGCTGCCTCAGAGCAGGCGGAAGAGGGAGGGACTCTCCTCTCAACTCTGCGCTGCACTCGGAGGTGCTTCCCTAAAGTTCCACATCTCCTGATGCTGTAAAGACAGTCAACAGAGCTTTGTTCAAGCTCGTCTAGCCTTGTGGGATTCAGGCAGATCTGATGTCTGCCACCCTTCTCCAGGACTTTCCAAGGAGGGGGAGATTGAAAAACACACACCAAACCCAACAAGCCACAGTACCTGCAGTGAACTAAGACGGGCTCAGCGTCCACTCTCAGGGACCTCACATAGTTTACAAATTCCAGAAAGTCCGAGGAGTCATCGGGCACGCCGTGGTCAGGCCATGCGACGTACTGGAGGTGTGTCACAGTGTGCTCTTCCCCGGTCTGAGGAGGACAGATTGGCCTCGGTCAGTCAACCCAAAGGGTGGGCAGGAAGACCCGGCCCCTCTCCAGCCTCCAGCCCAGGTGCTGCTGTCTCCTGATGCTCTTTCCACCCATTGTGCACAGCCCTGCAGGGGCTCCTGCTGACTCCTGCCCACCCTCCTCACCTACTCCCACCCCACCCTCTAGTCTCATCTGCCCATCATCCTCACCTACTCCCACCCGCCACCCTCTAGTCCAGGGGTGGGCAAACTTTGACTCGAGGTCCACAATGGGTTCTTAAACTGGACCGGAGGGCCGGAACAAAAGCATGGATGGAGTGTTTGTAGTCTCATGTGCCCACCCTCCTCCCCACCCAGGGCGTTCATTCCGCTTGCTCCTACAGCACTTGCTATTAGGGCCACACACAGTAGCTCTTTTTTTGGTAATGGGCAAAGTTTATATAACATGAAGTTTACCATTTCTAGCGTGCATTTCAGTGGTTTTAAGTGCATTTACAGTGTTTGTACAACCATCACCATTATTTACCCATTAAACATGCCCAGCCCTGGGCAACCACACTCTCCTTTCTGTCTCTGTGAATCTGACTCCTCCAGGTACTTCACGTACGTGGAATCAGACAGTATTTTTCCTTTAGTGTCGGGTTACTTCACTTACAGTGTCCTCCAGATTCACCCATGATGTAGCATGGGTCAGAACCTCCTTCCTTTTTAAGGCTGAATAATAGTCCATCATATGACTATGCCCCTAGTTTATCTATTCATCCATCCATGGGCATGGCTGTTTCCACCTGCTGGCTACTGTGAGCACGAGTTCTGGCTCTTTCACTGAAATGCTTGCCAGGTGAAAATGTGGAGCCGACCAAGGACAGCTCTCCCGGGACCACAGTGGCTGCTGACGTAGACCTGCCTCTAATCTGCCTGCCCGGACCACCCACCGTCAGGGCACCGCTCACCTCGGTGTTTGTGACCAGCATTTCTCGGAACACGTAAGCAATGGTGCAGTCCTCCGACTGACAGCGGATGTGGAAGCTGCCGTGTTCGGCGACATCGGGAGGATCGGGCCAGTACTGGTGACATTTGGTCTGCAAGGGAAGCATGGGGTGTGAGTGAACCTCCACTGGGGGGTGCTGTGCATGAGCAGTTACCTGGGCAGGTGGGGCAGGCATTCAACCAGAGCCCTCTCACTATACCAGGTACTCCAGCCAGGAGACAAGGACCTCAGAGCCCTCTCGCTACAACAGGTACTCCAGCCCCGAGATAAGGAGCTCAGGCGGGACTGACCTGCTGTGTGTCTGCTTTCTATGGGGAGGGGGGTTGGGGTCGGCCTAGCAGGGGCCAGGCCACAGCTCATAAAACAGTCTGGGCTGGAAGCCAGAGGACGAGTCCAGAGATTTACCTTCTTTTCACCAGGGCCTGGAATGAACAGGAGGAGGCCTCAGACCTGGGACCTTGACTTAGGAGTGACCCCTCTACTGCGGCCTTCTCTACCTCAGTCAATCCCACTCCAGTCCCTCAGGCCCCTTCTCTGCTCTCAACACCCCTTCTCAACCTCACCCCTGCTCCTCCACCCACCCCCACCCTCTTGAGGTAAAGGCTTCAAGGCACAGTGCTTGAGACGGCACATCTGGGAGTCAGGACTCTGTGGGAGTTAGCCATGTGACTTTGAACCTGCTACGCAACTGCTCCGATTGTGTTTTCTTCACCCAAAAGATGGGGACAGCACCCGCTTCACAGACAGGGACAGAGGCTGGAGATAACAGTGCCGTGCCAGGCTCACTATGTGTGGGGATCAGGTCAATGGAGCCCCTATTCCTGTTGTCACTGTGGGCCCCACATGAACTTGAGTAAGGACGGTGAGAGAGTCCACACAGTCCAGATGAAAGAC